AAACCCCTGTGTGTTGCAGGTGGTTTACATAGAGAAATAAGCACCTCCTCCAATCAGAAGGGTACTCAACTTTCGTTACCTATCTCGTGTCGCGTACTCTGTACCACCTATTTGGATGCACCACATCCTGTGGTCATCGGGCAACGGCCGGCAGCTGTACTACCTACCAGACACTATTCTACGTTAGTTCGGACATCCCGCGCGCTATTAAGTATCTGGTATCCACCCAGTATCACAAGATTTGCTTGGCTTCCTTTTGTTACTCATGTCACGTATCAAGCTAGGGGTCATCAGCAAAGCTTGCCAGACCAGAAGCCATCAACCGTGGCATAACCATGTCACGCTTCTCCTCTAGGCCAGTTCCTCAGAAATTGAGTTCCAGGTGATTCTTTGTCTGCCATTGTGGTTTGCTTATGCTTTTTGACGCAGACTCACAGATTTGATTTATTATTTGAGGCGATTGTCCGTGCACGTCGGAATAGTTTGAAGACACATAACAATATAGTACACATAAAAGAAAAGAAAGTGAATTTTACTACCTAATAACTCCATCGACCATAGTCCGCTACTTGTGAAAATTGGTAATTCTAGTGAAAGCTGTGACTCTGCCTCTTGCTTGAACTGTGAAGCGTTTCGGTCGGCGGAAGACTAGAAGATGAGCAACGGTCCAACAGGATAAGATCTAGAAGCCCACTGTGACAAAGGAACCTATCTCGCACCCGAAAATATTACATGGACCACAACCACTATGTGAGATGTACCTTTCAGTCAGCAACATCCAAGTCGTCATGCTGGGGTGGTGGGCTATCGACAGCTACGTAAAGAGTTAGCCAAATCTGCTGCCAATAATGCTTTCATATAGCGGGCCATGTACCTTTGCGTTCATCGCCGTTCGTGCCATTCTCACGACGATCACGGTCATCACGGTCATCACGTTCGCGGTCACTATGACGCGTAGTTGTCAGTTCAAGTTCCAATACGTTTTGCTGACAAGCTGTCAACGCCACATACCGGGTGTCAGGGCTGCGAGAGCGGTCTCGGGTGTCACGACGATCACGGTCATAATCCCGATCCCGGTCACGGTCACGGCGATCATCCTTCCTGGGAGAGTAGTCGCGAGTACTACGACGAGGTGAAGGAGAACGGCCCCGACGAGGAGATCGAGCCCCGCGGGCCCCGTCACGCCGATCCCGATCACGGCCAGAGTCAAAACGCCAAGAAGCTGAAGGGGGTGTACGAGCCCACTATGATAAAGGTTAGACAAGTTAGCCGAAGGCCAGGACCGAGAACACGTACCTCAATCTTCAAGATGTCGTCGCGACCGAGGCGCTTGTTATGCATTTCATGATAAGCATCATCCGCGTCTCGACGATCCTCATATTCCACAAAAGCAAACCTATTGGTCCATATTAGCCATACACCATGTGCCACGATCAAATCATTCAAAACTTACAACCGGCTACTGGCGCTGCGAGGGGCCGGAATGTCACAGCGCACAAGGCGGCCATAGCTAGAAGTAACAAAGTCAGCAATCTCACAAAATATGGTACTTTCCCGACGGCTCGCATCAAGTGCGTAGGAGCTTCGTTGTCCTGCCACGACAGACAGGCGACTCGGCGCGCGCGATGCACGTGATTGATCTGCTCGACCGCTCGATCGTGGGGGGGATGACTGAAATGGGTGGTGGGCGTGCGTGGGAGGTGGAAGCGAGGACAAGGAGACGGCTCGAGGACTCGACGAAGTCAAGAACGACGAAGACGGAAGACGGGGAGGACCTGGGACGGGTGGACGGGTGGACGGGTGGACGAGGAGGCACGGGTGGAAATATGGTGACATCGGACACCGTTTCCGCAGGCTGGACGGTCGATCGATCTCACCGTGCGCGAGGCGGAGGACGAGGACGACGAGGATAGCTGACATACCGTTCGAATTCGTAGGCGAGGTCGCGAGCACGCGTGCCCTGGCTGAAGCCAGTCACGTAGAGGGTAGTACCACCTCGCGACATGCTGTCTGATGCGGACCAGTCGGGAGACAAGGGAGAGGTGTAGAAGAAAACGCAGTCAATGATGGACCAGAATCCAGTCAGCCCCGATGCTTCTGGGAGGCCGCGGGGGACAATGCAAGTGATGCGTGGATGGTCTTGATGACAGAGGAATTGGCTCCTCGATGGTCAAGCAATGTGTTTCGGTCAAGTCCTGGAAGAAAGTTTGACAGTGGTTGGCCGGAGCTGTAAGGTTCCAGCAGCCGGGGGATCCTCGGGTCCATGCGCCCGCTGGGACTTTTTGCCCAATGGGGATTAGCTCCGGACACTATGACGTTGGCTCGTCTACTCTGTACAGTAGGTACCTACTGCTCCATTCACTACATAAGTAGGTACCTTATTAGCCAATTCAATGCCTACTACCTCTACCTGTACCTACCTGACCTCAAACCTCTGGAACTGGCCAGAACAGGTAGGTACAAGCAGCTTCTATTCAATACAGGATGCACCTACGAAGTACCTTCTTAGAAATAGAAAAGACGTGCCCTGTTATTGCAGTCGGAGTCAATCCTGCCTGCATTCAATACATAAGTATAAGGTAGGTAGGTAGGTAGGTACCTCTTACCTCATCCATAAACGGACGGGGCAGCAGGTACACACTTCTCAGTAGAAAGGCCTACTCATTGCCTGTACCTAGATTCTATACTATAGCACACATCTCCCTACCTACCTACTGTACGAACCCACAACTAGGAACCCAAGATGAATATTGTCCCAATACCCTTTCCACGAGTTTGCTTGTTCTCTACAAGTGCTCCTGCTAGTCCTCCAGATGAGCGGTCCTCTTCTCCTATTCGGATTTTAGATCCAAGCCAGATGTCGGCGAGCTATTGAGCACAGATTCTTCTATCTTTCCAAACCACATACAGACTACATACCTAGATATTCAGAACTTATCTAATACGGCCGAAGTATCCCAATTACTCCCCAGCCAGCAATGGAAAGCATCGAGGGGGCCGAGGTGTTGACACCTTCAGAATCCACACTTTCGTCACTATTTTCTTCTCCTGGTGGCTCTACCAGGCCATCCACCCACTCGCGATTCTCGGCATCAGAAACCCCAGTTCCCATCCAAGTTCCCATCGCATTTGCCGGGTCAGTATCGTCATCATCTAGCGACTTGCTAGGCCCGATATCTGGCACAATAGCTCCACCTCCTACTCAGGGTACGCCCATTGGAAATGGATCGTTATCGTTGCCAGTGGAGACAATCAGTCAGCGGACGAATATATCGTCAGTACCACCACAGGCCCTTTACGACAAGTTGAGTGCATTGTTAATAGTGCCCCGCGCTAAGGAGTGGGTGAATGAAGAGGAACGTCGTCAATCGAAGGAAGAGGAACGTCGTAACCGGGTCCGTGAGCAACGGCAAATGGCCAGAGCAGCGCTCCCGGAAGAGCCCTGGATATTTGTGCCTGAATTCTTATAGAGAGCTGAGACTACACTTTATCGTGAGGCACGACGACAGCGCCGCCATTTGGGAAATTTAACACGAAACCAACCGCAGCGTATTCTGTCTACGCTATTGGGTCCCATGTACAACTGGGCAACCGAGTCAAGAGTCCATAGTCAGTGGCGTGGCCACAGACGAAGACAGAGGCGAGCTCGTATTGAAGAGGGTCACCCACTGTTTACTGGACAGTTTTGGCAGCTCGTGGAACATGATGCCAACCGTGCTCCCAGCAGGCTACGACGTGTGAGTCACCAGGTGTCCGGATTCTTGACGCGAAAGGTGAAACTAGCAAATGCCAGGCTTATGGGAGGAAACTTATAAGCTTGGAGAGCTGGCAGGGTCAGTGGCCCGGGCTAGTGAAGGGATTGCATCTTGATTAGGGTGAGCACGCTCTTATTATGCTTAATGGGCAAATGATGGGGAGGGAGAGCCCGCAGCGTTCCGCGAATTTAACCATAGTAGCGCAAAATTATCACCATGATCATGGTATTGTCCTGAAGCAGAATACATAGCTTGGCGTAATAAATTGCTTTTCTATCCACCATACTAGATCAAGCGCAAAGGCAGTCGGTTAAATACTTGCTACAAACAGACCCCAGGCGAATTTTGATCAAGTTTGGGCTAGGTGAATGGGAAATTAAAGTTGGCTTACTTGTTAACCCATCCTGTTCTCTGGCAAAACTTTTCATTGGGGAAAGGCCAATTTTTCATTTCAACCGACGACACTCGTTGAGTTTGGTAACTTACAGTCAGAAAAAGCTCGTTATAGGATACAACCACGAGTTTCTGGGATGAGATCCAGCCCCCCTAGCCCTAGAGCGAGTGAGTAGGTCTTCAGTGATATCTTGATAACGTAGCTTATACTATGAAATGAAATTACAGGCACAGTCAATAAAAGATCTCTTATCGAATTTCGAACAAATTCCAAGGCACATCCATACCTTCACCCACGCATCCCATAAATGGACCTTGACTATACCGAAGTATAGATCTCATTCCATGTCTTCTATATTTCCACCTTGTCGGCTACAGTGAATTAGTCAGGGTGTACAAGTATGTAAGAGTCATCTAGACTCTAGCCAGGGGGTAGTCAGAGCCTGGACCCTACCACTCAAATATTTAGGGACTTCTTGATCGAATAGAACAGTAAACATTTAACTATAAAAGAAACCCCAATACTAATTAATAATAACCAAGAGTGCTGAGTAAAATATGCGTGCGTGTATGTTGCATACTCCCGCTATGTAGCCCCTTATCCCTCCGCATGTAAGTAAAGGCTCCTCTTTTTCATTGGCCCGTGGCCCCCGGCGTCGATACATCCAAGCTTCTGAGTTAACGTCCCTTAGTGGCCAACCAATCAACTTCGCCCGCTTGGCTAAGTGGTATAGCGTGTCACTAGTATATCGGTCTCTTAAAAAGGAGCCAGGTCACTGGATGCCATGACAAGATCAGCGGTTCGATTCCGCTAGTGGGCAGCTGCTGGCTTTGCTGAATTTGACTCTTAAATCCGAATTGGTGTAGTGGCTAACATTTGACGCTCTCATTTGCTCCAATTAACCTCATCAAGAGGTTGAGGACAAGTGCTGGTACCGTCAAGCCCGGGGTTCGATTCCCCGATTCGGAGTTCATAGATAGGCCTATGGCGCATTCTCTTTTTCCTTGTACACGCATACTTACTTACTTACAATGGTGTGTGAGTTTTTATTCCTGGGTAGGATATTTATTGGCTCAAGCACTCTGTCAAAAGCGGCAGCCAATCAAATGGATACAACACATAATTACTACCTATTTCTGCCTGTCTGGTTTTGGGTGGAACCTACCCGCCCAAATTGAACGGTTTGTTTTGTCTCATTACTTTGTAATGCAGAAGACCTCCAGCAATACCGCGACGTAAGTAGGTGTGTCGTTGAGGAATAACTTGGTGGCCTACTTACAGTACATAGTAAGATCCTCTGTGGCCTTATTTAACTTAACAGTATCTGCAGTACACTAGTCGAATAGGGCTCCAGTACTGGATACTACCGCCTGCTCCGCGGAGTTTAATCTAGGATAAGCTCTGGGTGTCCGTCTGCCCTAGGAGATATCCACAGTCCGAGTTCACCGGAATCGACAGTTTCGTCGGCGGTGAAGGCTCTGACCACAACGGTAATACCGGGATGTATATATGTAATGTCTAAAATAGGGATACCCTATTATAGCCACAACATTCTCCATTACCAGACTCTGTTGTTAAGAAGTGTCACCACACACACACAAAAAGATTCCTGTATATAGTGTAGTCAGATCATTTCCACAAGTAATTTAGAGACCTTCGCAACTACAGGTGTGTCTTGCCTACCTTATGTACGGGGTTCTGGACAAGAAGCAACTCAAGCGGTGGATAAAGATGGATATTATTTTTACGCGAAAGGTCTTACGAAACGCTCGTTAGCCAAATATGTGACACTGATTTACCGTTCTTTCATAAATAGTCATCCGTGTTGTAAGTAATCCTTAGAATCAGTTTCCTTCCTCTTGTCATCGTTTTTCAAAACACAAAGTCTCCTGATAAGGCAGAGTCCTATCCTGAGGAGGGATTTGGTTGGATTTCTACGCTTTTTATTCAGTTAAAATGTTCAGTATGACCTCACTAAACGCAGAACTTTTCAAAGGTTATCTGGAACGCAGGCTGTAGCCACATCAGCTACTCGCCAAGACTTGAGGAGATCCAAGCTGGCTTTGACCAATCTATCGAAGCTCACGGGACTGGTACGCCCGTGGGCGATCCTATTGAGCCAAGTGCAATCAGTGAAATGCTTACTCCGTATCGGTCGCCAGGAGAGCCTCTTCATACCAGAGCTATAAAGGGCAACTTTGGCCACTCGGGGGGAACGTCCGGGGTTGTGTTTGCCATTAGCAGCATTCTCACGCCTGAATGCGACATCATCCCTACGGGCGCCTAGTTCGAGAACCGAAACATCATTCAAGGTGAGGGGCATTTTGGATTTTCGGCCACGGCGCTTCCTTGGCCACAAACTAAGACTGGGCTCTGTCGAGTGTCCAGTAATTCCTTCAGCATCTTGGGGCCTAATGCCTATGTGGTTGTGGATGACGTATGTCGTTTTCTAAAGGAGTATGGGTACACTACACTGCATCGGACCATTAATGTGCTTTAGTTACCAAATGCCGTTTGTAAGTTTCAGGTTCGATTTTCGTCTGTATTTACGCTTGTTGTTCTGATTCTATTATTGTCTCAATAGCATTTCCAAAGCCTTTCAAGAATGGAAGTGACACTGCATTTCCTCAACTTACCGTGTCGAGCTTACTGTCAGGAATATACGTCACGGAGTGAATAGAAGAGCCTAGGTCACGGCTAGGTAGTGGTTAGGTGTCAATAAAACGAACAATTGATTCCTGTCTCCCTAAAAACCACCTAAATCCAAGGGGGCGTAGCTATATATATATACAAATACTACTATAGCTACCTATGGGGTAGCTGGTTAGTTGGCACCTGACACTTACACGATTTAAGACAGCATTTTTAGGCTCGTTAATGCCTACAAGCAACATTTTATCTGTGACTCGTTTTATGGCCTGACATTCACTGTAGCAACTGAAATAACTCATTCTAGCTGGCGTACAACAATCGTTACTAGCACTATAGAATCATTACAAGCTGTGCTCGTACGGTTCGTACACTTCCAATATCCCAGGAGAGCCTCGAACTCGCCAATGAGTATGTAAAAGAACTTGGTAGTGATTGGTCTGTAATTGGTAAGTGCCCTCTTTGCGTGCGTGTTGTCAGGAATCGTTAGTCAATATGGCCTGGGAAGCTGACTTAATGGGGAATAGACGAGCTTTCGAAAACTTTGGGGAAATCTCGAATTCACGGAGCTGAGCTCTCGCAGCCCCTATGCAGAGTCATTCAGGTTTCCGTTGTCGACTCATCTGCTTTCTGGGAAGCACTACTAAACGTCGCTACGGGTCATTCTTCTCGTGAGATTGCAGCATCCTATGCGATAGGGGCCGTCCCTAGAGAGCCTACCTGGAAGATAGCGTGCTGGCATGATAAGCCGAGTTTCTGTCATTAAAATTCTGTGTCTCAGTATACATACTGACCTAGACCTCTCCGTATATTAGGGAAAATGCCCGCTAAGTTGGTACGCTTCGTTGCAGCGCCACGAACTACAATAGCCGCCATATGGCTTGACCCTGAAAACACACCAGATATTCTTGAAAGTGTAAATAAAATGCGGTTTGAAGGAGTCGCCAAAGTTGCAATTGCTTGTGTGAATATTCATGACAGCCAAACTAGCAATGGGGATGCCGTACCGGTTGAGGCATGGGTCGAGACGATGAAGAGCGACCAGATCTTCGTACTCAGGGTGGCCGTCGAAGTAGCGCCTTATTCGTCATATCATATGGAACCAGTGGTCGATAAGCATACCACATTATTCGGAAAGGTCCATCTGGGCGCTTTTAATCCTGCCCATTCCAAGCCATATTCCTTCTCATCGAAGTATGATACGGTCATCAACGATTCTAGGTTACAAAATACGATGCATTAGACTACGAACCCAGAGCCAACTATACGATTCGATAAATCTATTACCAGTATGCTTCAAGCTAGGCCAGGGAAAATTCAAGCTATATTGTGCACGAACACCTTGGAGGCCAGTCCTCGTACTGCTCTCAACGGCCCAGTGCGCAACATCGTCGACGAAATCAGGGGCAGTGGTGCTGTCAAATACCACGACACACCCAGAAATAGGAGAGCAGACCTGCAGGCCTCTCTACAAGTAGCCGGTTTATTATTCAGTTGTGAAATATCAAGTGATCTAACGGATAGCATCCCATTGATGGGTATAAGCCATCATTTGTGACTTGCCTTTCTGAGCACCCCTTCAATCAAGGCAGGCAATACTGGTGCGAAAGTCGGCTGGGTAGAAACCTCCGCAAACAAATACCTACGCCATGGGCTGCTCGAGAGAGAGGCGAATGACTGGGACGAGAAACATGATGCGGTATGGCGAAACTGGATACGAGTCTCCGAGAATCTATGGACTAAGTAGCACATGGTTTTGGGTGCGCCTCGGTATTTCTTCGCTGATATGCTTGTCATGGCTATCGAGGGTTGTCGTTAATCAGCGGAACGATCGAACCGTGAAGAATTAATCAAAGGGTTTCGATTCAGTGAGATTACTTTCAAGGCAGCTTTATTCGTTCCCGACGACGCGATGGGTGTTGAGTCACACTTATACATTCGGCCTGTCAAGAAGCCTGCTTTAGAAACTACAACCTCAGAATAGCGCGAATTTCAAGTATGTACCGCATACAACAATGACGAATTACGAGAGCACTGCAGGGGACAGGTGTTGATTGAATACAATGAGCTGGAAACGGCCATAAGTGGCGCTCTAGAAGAAGAACTCCTTCGAACAAACTGTATCAGCAGCATCACCGAGGCCCAGAAGAACTGTCAGTCCTGGCTGAAGCCATATGTGACGCATGGAAGACCGTTGGACTTGTATTCGGTGATCTCTTCCAGACTGTGTCGAACCCATTCGTTAACTCCGACTTGGGCCAGGCTTTCGCCATAATTCGTTTAACTGTCCCCTTTCTGAGGAAGCTTATGCCTTACGAGTATGTGGAACCACATCATTCACCCCAAAACGCCATATGCGATTCTACAAGTCTGCATATTGCCCATACTTTCGAAGCCTGAGTGCACTGTAAAAAATGCAGCCATTCCCATGTCACTAAAAGATTATGCGTTTCCGGAGCACACCACTCGGATGATGGGTACCTAGCTTCTGCCCAAACCAACACTCATGGGCTAAAGGAGTACAAATCAAATTACGCTGGTATCGACACTGTTGAAATAAGGGATAATAGTACACTCCACACCCATACATTCATGTATATATATGTACCGCCAGGTCACTAGAGCTATAGGCTCTTTTTCTTTTTTTTTTAATTATCCTGAATACTACTACTGTTTACTATACTAGTTGTATACGTTTTTACTCTTTTTGATAGGTTATAAGCCTAGAACAGCTTACCTATATTATTTTTAATATAAACGTTACTATTATATTTATTAATATTTATTTTGCTTTTTATAAGCTATTTTTTTAATTTTATAACGCTTTTTAATGTTTTAAAGCTATTTTATAAATCCTTCGATTTTATATAAAGCGCAATTTAATAATATAAGCAGTAAAAAAAACAAAAATAAGCTAAAAATCTAACTAAACTTTTTATTTAAAACTTTAAAATTTTTATTATACTTTTTTATAAAATAAACAAACTAATTAAAATATTAAAAAAAAATTTTTTAATAAAAAACGTTAAATATTAAAGCTATAAATAAATTTTTTAAAACTATAAACAAACTTTTTTAAACCTATAAAAATAAAACGTTAAAATATATTTAGCTATATATTTTTTAACATTAAGCTTTATTGTTTTAATATTAGCTATAATATTAAGCTTAATAAAAAAAAGTTTTTTTATTAGCTATTTTATTTTTTAAGTAATTAATTTTTTAACTTTAAAAATTTTTTTTTTTTTTTTTTTATTAATAAATTAAAAAATTATTAGCTATATTTTTAAATATTAAAAAATATTTTTTTAAGTTAAAGC